TTTTGACTTGTTGAAAACCGCAGGTCTGATTGCTTTGATATTATATATATAAGTACTACATGTATACCTCTCTCAGATTAATTCATTTTGTGAAGATATCTTTAATTCTCAAATTTTGACGAATATTTTTGGTAAAAAGTGATATTTTTTAATTCTTGTTGAAAACCAAAGTCCGATTACTTTGATATTATACATATTGTTCTTGTTTGTCGCTCATGTTTATCACGTAATCATGGTCCTTCGCTCATATTTATCACGTAAACATGGTCCTTCGCTAATATTTATCACGTAAACATGGTCCTTCGCTCATGTTTGTCACGTAATCATGGTTCTTCGCTCATATTTATAATATAAGAGTGGTCATTCACTCATATTTATAATATAAACGTGGACCTTCGCTCATATTTATAATATAAACGTGGTCCTTCGCTCATATTTATCACGTAATCATGGCCCTTCGCTCATATTTATAATATAAACGTAGTCCTTCGCTCATGTTTATCACGTAATCATGGTCCTTCGCTCATATTTATCACGCACGCACACACACACACACACACACACTACTGCAAAGACTCCCATTTTGTGCTTCGCACATGGGAGTCAAAAACAGGGTAACCCCCCCTACTGATCCACCGACCCCCCCCCCTAGGCCGAAGTAACTGACCAATCCCTTAGGTCCTTCGGTTTAGTGAGTACCAATTAACTATTAATTTATTATTGGAAAGTACAAAGTGGCTATTAGAATTTTTATTTTGGTTAGGCAGCCCCATGACTGATATACAGTGGATAGTGTCACGGTAACGTTCGAAGTCTCCGTCAGTAGATGTCCTTGAAATCACACTGCATTGGCACTCGTAGTTACTGGCCGACGACATGGTTGTACAAATGATGACTTAAGACGAGTTGAGAATGCCCAAGGCGCGACCTTACGGGGGGTCCAGCCATGCTCCCCTTTAGAGATTTAGGCCCTCGTAACGTAATTTCCGGCATTTTGAGAGGCAATTTTTGCTGACACACAGGGTTTCAGCTTGCCTTGTAGATTAAATTGACAAACGTTTCGAAGAGAAGACGCATCTTGGGCACTTCACTCTAAACATATGCATATTTATTCGGGATACATATTCTCTGAATATCACACAGAAAATATCTATTGAATTCGACTTTACTCACACATTTCCCCATCCCCGCAGTTTATTTTCTAACACCCCCACATTGGCATGTAGTATATGGATAGTATCGCCCGTTCCCTTGGTCAAACCATACATAAAGTAATAACGCTTTTAGGCGTTCTAATTGTAGACATCTCAGGGTTTGTAGGTAGGTAGCCGATGGACATCAAGTCCCACACATTACATCAGGGAACAACATTTTTTCGGGGGGGGGGGTTTCTCTGAATAAAATATGGTACGTAAGCTGAAGTAAAAAAATCGCGTTAAGGGGTTATTTAGTTATTTATTGTGTATACGCGTGTACCGAATGTAACTTAAAATATAGTAATAAAGTGTGAAATACAGAATCTCATCAATTCATGTTACCTGAACTTGAAAACAGTATGATTTTAGTATGTATTTTAAGTTTCTGCACAGAAATAAGTACGTCTTTACTGGCTTTTTTGAAAAGCTACTTGTTAGCATGGGTACCAGGTCTGACTTGGAATTATTGACACAGTACATCTCTTTATTATGGAGCTACATGAAAATGAACAGATTGCCACTCGTCTCTTTATAGACCGTTATGGAAACGACAATTGCTTGATCTTGCGTACAATGCTCATTACAGGCATCTCCAAGTGAGTGATGGTTGCTCCATAGAAATGCATAGCAAATACAATTTGCTTCTTTTCCTGATCTATTATTAGTAAAATCATTAAACCAATGTTTTGGATAGCTCGAAATAGGTTTAGTATGGTGCTCTAATTTACTTCTGATTATTCTATTTAAAATTATCTGAACATAAAAGGTGTGGATCAAGAGCACGTTTTGAAAACAAATTTTCTCCACTTCCAGACTGGTCTATATAGGAACTGTGGATAGTTTATATAGGACTCTAACAAGATGTACAAGTGAAACTGCACCTACGTGGCAAGTGCCATATCCCATCCATGCCAACAAAACACTAAATCATAGAGATGTACTGACCAACTAATTTCATTGTCAAACATGCTGTTGTATTTTTATATTAACTTTATGTCGATTGAAGATACAGAAAGTAATTTGTGCGTCTGTGCGAGCAAAAAGATTTGGTAAATATCTCACTGCAAAATCGCACCAATTGACATTTATTAGTTTACTTTTTGAGATTACGAAAGTAAAGATCTCTTAATACTTTCAAGAAAATGACATACTGTAAAAGGACTAATTATTCACTGGGTTTTAATTTTGCTTATTTTAATAGCTAAATTAAAACCCAGTGAATATGTAAAATTTAGCATAGAACACATTATCTATATGATAAAACCGTGAATTTAAAACCCACTGAATATGCCTGAAATGCTAAACCAGTGAAATTTAAACCCAGTGAAAATTAGTCATTTTACAGTAGTGGGAGTGTATCTTGATGTACCGGTATACAGATATTCAATAATGACAGTTACCATTACAGCCAATATATCAGAGCCATAAAGCATACCCCACCTACTATATACAGTGAACTGCTTAAATTTTGCTAAGTGTTAGTGACTTTAGTAAAATTTTGTCTTCACAAAATCATGAAAATTCTCTGTAGCAAAAGTATTTACGGTATACACGTTTATGAGCAAATACACATTAGATAGCTGATGGAAGATGTCTGTTTCAATATTTGATTGAATGTTACTTTTCTAGGGATACATCTTTTTCCATGTTTGTATATTCTATTTGGATTTAATTCAATCTACAATTTATGTCACAGAGTTCAACAGATGGCCAGATATATTGGACTGGTGGTGTCTGCTACAATATAACACTTTGGCAGCAATATTAATTTGTGTTGAACAGAGATGTTAATCCAAAAGTTAATTTTGCATTCACCATAAAGATATACTGGTTTTATACTATGTATATTAACAGAGGTTATTTTACTGAAAAATGCATTGTAATAAACCAAGAAAAATGAAATCATACAGAAAATTGAATTTCAATAAAAAGTTTTTCGCTGACCTTGAAGGAAAATAAAATTGAAGAGAAAAATAAAATATTGATACATCTGGTTTTCAAAAATTACTAAATATATTAATTAACTTCAAATCAGCGAATGGGAATAACACACCACACTATTATTATTAGAAAGAGTGATAGCAAAGAATGTATCTACATCCAGTGGTTATTGCTCTGCAAATCACAAATCACCTTATATAGAATGTAATTAGCATAATTCCAAATAAGGCAAATAGTTTTTAAAAAAGAAAGTCAAGTAATTGCATGCTGGCACTAATCAAGGCAAATATTTTATATGGAAGCACTAATTAAATAATTCAGCTCTAACGATGATTCCCTACTTGATCTGTATATATTTCTGACTGACAAATCACACATAACCATATAAGAAATTTAGTTTGCATGATTCCAAATAAGACAAGCAAGCTAATTTGCATTTAAAGAAAACAATTAAGTATTTGCTATTTTTTTTCAAATGTGGTTTAAAATTAGAATATTTTAAACACATTTTATTTGTTATGTAAAGGATTGTCTAAATAAATTCTAGAAATGTCATCCAAGTCGTACGGGTTGTACTACTGATACATCACAGTTGTCGCATAGGGCACTGAAATACTGCAGTAGTCAAAACTGCACTACTGAAACACCGTAGTCATTGCACAGCACATTAAAACACTGTAGTAGTTACGCAATGCATTGAAACACTGCAGTAGATGTGCAGCATAACTCAAATTTTGTGTAAACAATGTCTTTTGCAGATATTATGCAATGCGGCAACTGTGGTGTATAATGTCAGAATAACGAAAGGCCATGATATATTTTAAGTCAAAGATCCTTTACAGTGATTATTGCTTGCTGTATAAACCCAACCACCCCTATACATGTATATACACCTTTTAAATTTCATTAGTATCATGTAGTAAGAACATGTCATGTAAGTAGCATTTCTTGTTATAACCTCAAGAGATCTATGTGACCAACCCTATTAGTATATTATAGCTATATCATTATTTTAGATTATTATTTTTTAAATTTGTAAACATAATCAACAACCAGGTTGTGTGCCAGGAGGCTCTACAGCCAGCCCATGTGTGTGCCAGGAGACTCTACAACCAGGTCATGTGTGCTAGGAGACTCTACAACCAGGTCATGTGTGCCAGGAGGCTCTACAACCAGGTCATGTGTGCCAGGAGACTCTACAAACCAGGTCATGTTTGGGCTGACTGTTACAACCTTGGGAAATTGACGAGTGTTATCCCAAAAAAGCAAATTAATCAGGTGCACAATTTACATATTAAGAGAAAAGTTCCCAGTTTTCATGTAAATCTTGGCCCTCTATCTTACAAATGACTGTTTTAAAAGTTACCCCATCACACAAAAAGTTTGAAAAAAAAAAGATTTATTTCAGTTTATTGTAAAGCCGTTATTTTTGTCTTGATCACCAAATAAAGACATAATTAGTCTGTCACAAGATCCACTCATTGCAGATAAATCCATAGATCTTGGATAGAAATCCAAACTTGAGAGGAACTTTGACCTCCAACTACCAAGAATATCGCACACAAGGCCAAAATACTGATGTGATAATCTCAGTTCTGTGGAGACTACAGGGTCAGATTAACCAATTTATAAAAGGCACCATGATATATTTCAATACAGAGCGTAATCACCTTCGTTGTGACAAAGTGTAACACATATCACAACTTTATCGAAGTGTACCACCAGTTATACCGATTTTACTGAACAGACACAAGAAAGATTGATTTTGCCAAAATGAAAAATATTTCCCATCTGCATATTATCATAAATACTGACCATGTGACATTTTCCTTAAATTTGTACAACTATATTAATTTTATAAGTATTGCATGGATTGTTACCATACGTGTATGGATTGTTACTATATGTGTAATAGTCAGTAAGTGGATATATCTGCTAACATCTAATTAGCTACTATAAGTGTCAATAGCTCATTAGCTACGAAATATCTTAATAGCCAATAAACTGTTAAACGTCTTATAGCTAATTAGCCGACACATGAGTTAATAGCCAATTAACAGATACAAGTATTGATAGCTAATTAGCCGATACATGTGGTAATTTGTGTAAACATTGCATTGGATTGTATTGGAAGTAATGTCATGCAATACATTGTGGGACAATGTCTACTTGTTTGATGTCACTGGACATCTTGAAAAGAAATTTTTACTCTGTATGTCACAAGAGTGCACTGGAAGTAAACTGTTGGCATATGCATCATTAGATACCAATGCATTACGGGGAGAAATGATCATCTGTGATGTTGGTGGGTTGCAGTGCATTATGGGAAAGAATACCATCTTCTGTGATGTTGGTGGGTTGCAGTGCATTGTAGGAAAGAATGACCATCTTCTGTGATGTTGGTAGGCTGCAGAGGACTGGATCTTGTTCAGACTAATTTGAATATTGCATAGATTTTGTTATAATTCCCATTGGAATGCCTTGTTAATCTCGTTTACTGACCACTTGGCCACCAATTATTTTCTTCCTCTGTCGTATCATATGAGAATACAATCTGGGAAACACTGTGGAAAAAACAAACATGGTTTAATATGTAAAAACAACTCAACTCAAAAATAGATGTTTATTATATCATTATGCGACATACACTAGCCTGTCAAAAATAAATATTGCATCAAAGTAAATTTGACATGCTTTGTTCTTTCCAGTTGTACAACACACAAAGCCTTGCATACAATGGTTTTAAACCATGCATGCTAAATAAGTGAGATCACAAAAAAAAAAAAGAAACACAAAACAGCTATAGGGTAAAAAAAATATGGAGTCCCACATTTCTAGTTTGTTTTTACAATGGTTTGTAAACTATATGCGAGAGTGCATCACAATAAATACAACCATAAACAGTATCGCATGTACCATATTTGACTGAAACCCCAAATTTGAATAAAACCAGGTCATCAGATGTTACCTTGATCATTTTTTGACTTTTTAAAATGATAAAAATACAGAGACTATCATAAATTTGGCAGGAATTTTTAACAATGAGCTAGGGCACTTAAAAACTAACATTTTTTGTTTTAGTTGAGGTCAGTGGGTCACAGAGTCAGTCGAACACAGTATAATGCAATACACAAGTCAGAAGAGATGCTGAATTGTTCGAGTTACAGACATCAAGTTACGAAAACATTGAGTTACAATTACATATTTCAGAAACCATGCCCACTTTGGCGAAGTCACGCCCAAATTGTAACTTGATGTCCAATTTAACAGTTAACAAGTCATTGTCAATGACACGTCCCCGTTCCGTTCATATTTGAGTGACATATACATTCAAAGCAGATCATGACCGAAATGCACCTGCATATGTACAACACATTGTGCTAAATCTGAACAAAATCCATCCATGCATGACTGAGATCCGGTTCTGGAATTGTGAAAATACGTGATTTTGATGCATTTT